GGCCCTGTGGCAGCAGGAGGGAGTCAGATCCGCTGCCGGAGGTTTGGCTCCGCAGAAGCGCAGAGTTGGGTGTTTGCGCGGAGCGAGCAAGTTCCTTGGCAGGAACTGGTTCTCTTTGGGATTTTGGCTGGGGGATGGGCGGGGGAGATGGCGCTGGCGAGCGCCTTTGTTCCCCACCAAACTGAGCTCTGTCGTCAGGGGGCTCAGCAGCTCTCCTTCCCTTTGTCCTCCAGCCTTCCCGCTTTTTGAGCAGAGCTGTTAACTTATGACCTCCCAGCCGCTAAGTCGCGCTTGCTGTGGGAACACAGTCCGTCAGGCCCCTCCGCTTTTTGCAAGCCAGACTCGGGGGCTCTGCTTGGCCGGGGAGCCGCCCCTCCGCCCCGGCTCCCTCCCGCCAGTCCGTGGAGCGCGCACTGCCTCGCCGCCCTTCCTACCCTCTTCCGTGGGCCTCTCGTCTGCGCTTGGCTCCGGCGACCAAAAAATAATTTATTCTTATTCAGAGTAGTATAGCAAAGTGATTTCTAATTGATAGCAATTGAGTCTTGTAATTAAGAACTCTCTGTTTAAAAAATCATTTTTTTCTGTTCTTCTAGTTTTAAAAATGTGGAATATCTGAGGAATATAAATTTTCCTCTTCATGCAGTAGCTTATATTTAACTATATCTCTTCAAAATCTGTTTTGTATTTTCTTGCTATTTATGTCTGCCTGGAGAACTTGATATTTCAAAATAGTTGGATATGTTATTTTTCTTAATTTTCTAAGATGATGCTTGTTGATATTGCCCTGTCATGTTTATGGCTGCAAAGACCCCCGAGGAACAAGTATGTTATTCCATGCTGGTACTAAATGAAGTTTGTTCTTTGACTCACAACTGTACCAGGTGTCTGATATTTATCTAGCTTCAATATGGATGACTGTGTTTGCTATCTGATGTTATAAATGGCTTTTGGAAGCAAAAGCTTCTGGCTAAGTACAAGTATAGACAGTAATAGGAATGGTGCTGTTTAGACCTACAATTCACCAGAAGTTTTGCCCCCAAAGAGAATCTGCTTACTGTACACCATTCTGCTATCTTCTGAAGTTGTTACCTGGTAATCAAAGTTCTATTTCTTGAGAATACGTTTCAAAGGCTTCTTTTTAAAAATACTAAGAAGTATTTCTTTTTTCATGAAAAGATTTTCTATAGTCAATTATTTATGAATTTAATTTCGGCACTAAACTAAAATTTCAGCACTACTTGATCTTTTTTTTTAATTAGGGAACTTCTAAATAGGTGTTCTTTTAAATCTTTGTTAGCAGTTGTATGACACTGCTTTTGTAATTCAAAACTCAGTTTTAAGTCTTTTTATTCCACTTTTTAATTTTGAAAATTATAAACTTTCAGAAAAGTTGCATGAATAGTATAATAAAACCCATATAGCCATTCCCAAAATTGACCATTTTTTTGTTGTGTGGTAAAATGTATATAACATAACATATACCATTTTAACCATTTTTAAGTGTTCGTTTCAGTAGCATTAAGCACATTGACATTGTATAATCATCAAAACCATCCATCTTCAGAACTTTTTCATCTTCCCAAACTGCAACTCTGTACTTATTAAAAAATAAATCTCTATTCCTCCTTCTCCCAACTGCTAATGACCACCATTCTACTTTCTGTCTTTACGAATTTGACTACTTTAGGTACCTCAAATAAGTGGAATCATACAATATTTGTCCCTTTGTGTCTGGCTTATTTCACTTAGCGTGTCTTCAGGGTTTATCCTTGTAGCATGTGTCAGAATTTCATTCCTTTTTAAGGCTGGATATCATTCCATTCTATGTATATACATATTTTGTGTATCCATTCATATCCATTGATGGAGTTTTGAGTTGTTTCTACTTTTTAGTTACTGTGAGTAATACTGCTATGAACACTGATATACAAATATCTGTTTGAGTCCCTGTTTTCAATTCCTTTGGGTGTATATGTAGAAGTGGACTTACTGGATCCTTAGGTAACTCTATGGTTGCTTTTTGAGGAATGGCCATACTGTTTTCCATAATGGCTACATCATTTTACATTCCCCCCAGAATGGCTGCATCATTTTACATTCTCCCCAGCAATGCATAAAGGTTCCAATTTCTCCATATCCTTGCCAGCACTTGTTATTTTCAGTCTTTGTGATAATAGCCATCCTAATGGAATGAAGATTTGCCAATTTTAAAACTTTATTGCATCAAAGGATTCATAAAGGATTCTGCAGATCCTGCTTTTTATTACTTTAATTCAGTATATCAAGTGGCTGATGTGTCCTTTGTACATTGTTGTATTTTAAAAATAATTTCATCCCTGATTTTTTATATCATGATGAGCTTTACTTAGGTATTGGGGGGCTTGACTAGTCCAAAATGTTGTTAATTATATGATGTTCTGGTACATGATTCAGTAGGATTGTTGGTAACATTGGTTACAATACAAGTGGAAGACATACTTTTACCCTTGTTAATAGTTTTTTTGTTGAGTAGTGTGCAATTTTATAGCAGAATCCAATGATACCTTAAAATTATGTTGCTAATTAACAATGGATTGTTTGTATAATTTTTTTGAAACAGACTGACATAGGACCAAAATAATTGCTTGAAAAGTATTTTAGAATAAATTTTGTATCTTCTTTCATGGACAATTAAATAAATTATTTTTTACAGCAAATTCTGTATGGTAGGGATGCCTGGCTGGCTCAGTTGGAAGAGCATGCAACTTTTGATCTCGGGGTCATGAGTTCAAGCTCCATGTTGGGTGTAGAGATTATTAAAAATAACTAAATAACTATATATATATAATTCTGTAGGGTAGATTCTATAGTTTGTGATACTGCCTTTTTAGTTTAGTTGTAAGATTTTTTTCCACATACTCAAAATGCAGCTTCAGGGTCCCTCAAAAAATCTCAAGGCCTAGCTATATGAAAGAAGTTGAGTAAAATTGTCTATATCACAAAGCTTTGCTTCATTTTTTGGTGATGGTTGATAGATTAGATAAGTCTTCTGTATTTTAAGATGTTGACAAATAGCAGTCAAGTATACTAATTGCCTAAGTCCATTTGTGTGAACAGCATTAGGTGATTTAGTCAGATCTTTGCAAAAGAGTTCACGATGCCATTACCTATACCTATGTAGTCTTTGCCTTGTTAAATGACCTGTGCTATGTTCTAAAAATATATTTCTCTTCAAAGTTATTTTTACTCACGGTGTAGTTATTAGGAAAATAAGAAGAATTATATATTTATGTATATTATTTCATTTTTTTAAATGTTTATTTATTTTTGAGAGAGAGAGATAGCGTGTGAGTCGGGGAGGGGCAGAGTGAGAAGGAGACACAGAATCTGAATCAGGCTCCAGGCTTCTGAGCTGTCAGCACAGAGCCCGACGCCGGGCTTGAACTCATGAACCATGAGATCATGACCTGAGCCGAAGTTGGCCACCCCTGAACTGAGCCACCCAGACTCCCCTAAGAGAGAATTTTTAACAAGATCTTGCCATTAATACAGAGATTATCCTATAGCTTTCTCAACTTGGAAAAGGCTATGTCATTACATTTCATAGCCCCCTTCTTGATTAAAGATTTTGACAGATAAGCCATTAACATTACATGATTTCTCATTACATGATTTTTCCACAAGTTGGGATCAAGGTCTTATTGTTGCATAATGGCAAATGTCTTTCAAGGTTTTGTCCTCAATGATGGGAATGTTAAAGTGTTGTTCTGTTTGTGTTTAATAAGGTTGGTGCCAATATTTCTCTTCACAGGTACTGGGGACTTTAAAATGAAGCCTACAGATGAAACAACTTTTAATTTTCTTTTCTAAAGAAAAGAAAGAAAGTTTGTTAATAGACAATAATTTAGAAGCAAATGGATCAAAGATGGGGAATATGTCACATACAAGAAGAGGGCCTTACATTTAATTTTACTATTATTTAATGTTAAAATGATAACACTGTCAAAAGGATATTAGGACTGGTCAAAAATAAAAATTTAAATAATTAAAAACTATTTCTTTCCATTAATCATTGGGGAAATGCAAATCAAAACTACAGTGAAATACCCCACACACCTATCAGAATGGCTGGAATCAAAAACACAAGGAATAACAAGTGTTGTTGAAGATGTGGAGAAAAAGGAACCCTCGTGCACTGTTGGTGGGAGTGCAAACTGGCACAGCCACTATGTAAAACAGTATGGAGGTTCCTCAAAAAATTAAAAATAGAATTACCATTGATTCAGTAATTCCACTACTGGATTTTTACCCAAAGAAAATGAAAACATCAATTCAAAAAGATATATGCACCCCCGTGTTTATTGCAGCATTATTTACAATAGCAAAGATCTGGAAGCAGCCAAGGTGTCCATCAACAGATGAATGGATAAAGAAGAGGTGATGATGGTGTTGGTGTGTCTGTGTGTGTGTATGTATACGTACGTACGTGTGTGTGTGTGTGTGTGTGTGTGTGTGTGTGTGTGTGTAATGGAATATTGCCCAGCCATAAAAAAAGGAATGGGATTTTGCCCTTTCCAACAACATGGATGAACCTGGAAGGTATTAATGCAAAGTGAAATAAGACAGAGAAAGGCAAATACCATATGATCTCACTCATATGTGGAATTTAAGAAAACAAAAGAGAAAACAAAAAGACAAATAAAACCCCAGACTCAAATACAGAGAACAAGCTGGTGGTTAACTGGAGGGGAGGTGTTTGGGGGGATGGGTGAAATAGGTGAAGGGGATTAAGAGTACATTTACCATGATGAGCACTGGGTAAAGTATAGAACTGTTAAGTCATTTTTTTGTACACCTGAAACTAATACAACACTGTATGTTAATTATACTTAAAAAAAAAGCCCTACCTCTGATTCCCTTTCAAGTCATACTCTTCAGAGTTTTCGAACCAACTCTTTACGTTTGCTGTGATTAGATGTAGTGTCCACCCCTTGGAAAATAGAACCTGGAGGTGATCAACTGAGAACCATGACCTACACTATAATCCTTAATAATCCACTTACTGGAAAGTGCACCACTGCCACTGAAAAGCAGGTATGTTTCCTCCATCAGTATTCCAAAAGAATCATATATGTGGGAAGAGAGAAACCTGTCATTGTCCCCAGTTAACAAGACAATTTTAAGAAATAAATGGCAAAACAAAAGGGAGGAGAAACTATTACAGATTAAAAAAGACTGAAGAGGCATATCAACCAAATCAACCAACCCTAATTCAAACAAACCAACTAAAAATATGTTTAGGAGATTTAAGGAATTACTAATTTTTTACATATATTAATGGTATTGTAGCTGTATTTTAAAGAAAAGAATATCTTTTAAAGAGACACACTGAAGAAATAAAGAGATACACTGGAATATTTATGAATAAAATTATTCTGATATCTGGGGTATCCTTTAAAAGTAATCTAGCCAGGGAGAGCATGGTGGTAGAGGGAGGGAATGTGGGGATGGGGTACAGATGAAGCAGGACTGGACAAGAGTTAACGTTGTTGAAGCTGGCTGTTGAGTTTATGAGGGTTCATTATACCTCATTTCTACTCGTGTGTATGTTTTAACTTTTCCATAATAAATGGTTTAATAAAGAACACTACTGGAATCCAATATACGGGATCATGCCAAGAGTTATAGCCAAATAACTAGAGGGGTGCTGTGATGTATGGAAAGAGATGATAAGATATTCAGTGCTCTACTCTGGCCAGTGTGGCACTGTCTTTATAGTAGAGTTTGTGTTTGACCAATTTATGTTGAGGTATAGTGTATCTGCTCTGCAAATAGTTAGAAAATATCTTAACATCTGAACTAATTATACTATTACGGTTTTTGTCCAGTGTTTAAAAGGACTTATTTAAGAAGAGTTTGGTATTTTGACATTGGAGAATCTTTGATAATGTTACAGGATAGGTTGAAAGGGTATGGTTAAAATGAGGAAGGTTTGACCAGTAACCACTCCAAATCCTGTTAAGGTAGGCAGTGTTTTCTTTGGTTGTCCCCTTTCTTCATTGAAAAAAAAATTTTTTTAACATTTTTATTTATTTTTGAGAGATAGAGACAGAGCATGAGAGGGGGAGGGGCAGAGAGAGAGAGGTAGACACAGAATCCAAAGAATGCTCCAGGATTTAAGCTGTCGGCAAAGAGCCTGATGCGGGGCTCGAACCCAAGAACCACGAGATCATGACCTGAGCCAAAGTCGGACACCTAACTGAACCACCCAGGTGCCCCAAGCTTCCTTCACTTTTTTGGTGAAGGGTGATTGTTAAATTTTTATGAATTTTGGGGTGGGTCTTTGCTTCATCCAGTTTGAATTTTAAATTGTTCCCCTATCAGGAACGTTTAAAAATTTTTATAAACTAATGACATACATAAGAGACTCTCCTCCTCATACCTAAAAGAAGGAAAAAATAATGGTACAATGAAATGACAGGCAACAAATACTCTTTCTGCAGGTCCCATCTTCTCAATTCATAGATTGCATAGCCAACACGAAGGCTCTTCTGGGTTTGTATATAGGCTTCTCATGTCTTTTGTAATTTTAGTATATGTGTTCTAAATTGGCAAGGAATTTGATATATTAAACTTGAACATGCAAAAAAAATGTTTAATCTTATTTTGACAGACACTGTATAAAGAAAGTCGGGAAGCACAATTTTATTTGGTAGATTCAGAAGTACTGACACATGATGTTCCCTACCATGATTACTTCTATACCCTGAACAGATACCATATCATCCGATCCTCAAAACAGAAATGCCGGCTGAGGTGAGCCTATCGTAAATGAATATCGTAAATGAAATATTAGTCAGGATAGGTGAGATTTTATTCTGGAACATGTCAATCCTAAAATCTTAGCAGTAGCCTTAGACAACCAAACTTTATTTCTTGCTCAAATTATATGACCACCAGTGGTCAGCAGAGGGGTGGAGCTCCTTACTCAAGGCCACAAACTGATGAACACTTTGACATTCTGTAGCTGCACCATCCAGAATATGTGTTGTTTCAGTTGCTACAGGAAAAGAGAGTCCTAGAACTGTGTTCACCGTCCAGTGGCCAAAACTAGTCACAGGACCCTGTTTTATGTCAAGGCAGCTGTGAGTTCTTGAGGAGCACACGGTGAGCACATTGCTGCAATGGAAATAAGAAATGTTGGTGTATTAAAGATAGTGATGTACCACCATGTGCTTTGCCTGGTCTTAGTTAATGTAGTTACTTTTACCTAATTTATGACCACTAGAGATTTTTTTATACAAGGCATTTAGAAAACTTAGAATTTATTTTGAGCCTTTATTGCTGTTTAAGTAAAGGAAATTCAGGGCTAGAGAAAGGAAAAAATAAAATGCCAAGTACTTAGAAGGAAAATTTCATGAAATTATTAGCAGCATATAGTAATTTTCTAAAAAGTTGTCATCAGTGCATAAATTTTCTTTCATAGTCTTAATGACTTTGAGTCCTTTGGCTTTCCAGTGGACATATCTTACATTTAGATTATAAATACAACTATAATAGAACTAAATTCTATCCTTTAAATAAACTTTTTTCCTCCGTAATTTATTAGAGTTTCTACAGATGTGAAGTACAGAAAACAACCATGGGCCATTATCAAATCTCTAATTGAAAAGAATTCCTGGAGTTCATTGGAGGACTATTTCAGACAGCTTGGTTTGTAAATTTCTTAGTTTATCTATTTTTGTAAAGATATTAACAAAACAGATTGATAACCTCATTTGGATTCACAGCAGATGACGTTGAATTGACTCCCACTGAAGTGATCCTAACTACCCGACTTGGAATTTGGAAACTTTAATTTTCATTGGTCTAACAAACATTCATATTATGCTTATTATATGCCCGACATGTTCTGCATGCTTTATAAATATCAACCTATTACAATACTGTGCAGTAGGTACTATTATTTTTTTTTCCATTTTACTAAAGAATAAATATTGAAACAGAGAGGTTAAGTGACTTGTCCAAGATCACACAGTGAGGAGCTGTCACTCCCTGCAAGGAGCCAAGAAGGCTGACTGTAGTGAGAAACTGCGTAACTTACCACAAATATGCACTTGGTGTTCCTTGGTGGCCCCACCTCTACCCCGCAATCCTTATCAATGCAGCTTCCTTGGGTTTATGCAGGCCCACTTAGCAATGGTAACACGTACGTGTATGGATTTAGTGGAGGTAGGGACTAGACTGGGGAAGTGATATAGTTAGTTCTGTTTGGATATTCCTTAAAATAAAACATGAGAAAAAATATATATACATAAACATAATTAATTCTGGTTAAAGAAAAGCTGGGGTCAGTCAGCTCAGGGTAAAGTAAGGCTTGATTATCTAGTTTGTTGGTTATTTTTCTTGCTCTTCTCTCTTGGCTATTCATTATTAAACTCCTAATTAGGAGCAAAGAAAATGTTATTCAAAAATTAGTTTGGCCACTGGATAATGAGCTTCTAATAAAAAATCTGGTGAAGGAAAGGTCAAAAAAAAAAAAAGACAAAAATGAGGTTTTTAGGTTGTTTGCAGATTTTTCTTACCAGTACTCACTTTTTGCAAACCTCATTTATAAACTAGAACTATTATATGCTCCTCCTTCCTTTGATATTGACAATCAAGTACCACAGTCTTTCTTGGAAATCTTTCTAATGATCCAGTGTAAGTGGGTAGCCTGTTGTTTCCATAACTGAAATCATTATGTTAATATTTAATATAGCACATGGTGAATTTGCTCTGATGATTCCATCATTTATTAATACAGTTCATTCTTCCTAGAATAGTGAAGCCTCATTATAGGATCACTTTATCCTCCAAAACTTTTTATTAATAGTAAGGTTTGAATCTAGGCCACAAGAGCCTAAGTAATAGTTAAAGAAAGTTACCAAGGCTTTAAAAAAACAAACTGAAGGGGCGCCGGGGTGGCTCAGTCAGTTAAGTGTCCGACTTTGGCTCACGTTGTGATCTCATGGTTCATGATCTCATGATTTGTGGGTTTAAGCCCCACATCAGGCTCAGAACCTGGAGCCTGCTTTGGATTCTGTGTCTCCCTCTCTCTCTGTTCTTCCCCTGCTCACGCTCTCTGTGTCTCTCAAAATAAATAAAACAATTAAAAAAAATTAAAAACAAAACTGAAAACAAAGCAATCCCCTCCCTACCCTCACATCTTATAGTCAAGAAGGTTTCTCTGCTGTCTAAAGATTTTTTTTTTCCTTCTTAGAATCAAACTTATTAGCGGAAGAGTCTGTGTTAAATCAGTCCGTTGAAGACGCTGGAAAACTTAGTGGCTTACGAAGGAGAAGGCGAACATTCAACCGAACAGCAGAAACAGTTCCTAAACTTTCTTCTCAGCGCTCTTCTGGAGATGTGGGCTTGGATGCCAAAGGGGATATTTCAGGTAGCTATTATGTAGTAAACAGATGGAAGATTTTAGTTTACTTATATGAAGCAGAATACATCTCTTGTTTATAGGACACATCAGAAAGGAGGTTTCCCTTTTTCCTCTCCTTTTCTGATAATGTTTATCAAACTCGGACTTCCTTCAGTATAACTAATGTGTAAGTGTAAAGAAGCAGTTGCAAAATGGCAGGCATATGGCCAATAGAGGTGTTTTATTTGGCCCACATGATATTTTAAAAGGTGGGAGTTTTTATGTAAAAACTCACATCTGACAGCTCTGGACCCAAATCTCTTCACAGCAACAGTTGCTGGAGCTTAGTAGAAGCTGTGCCATTAGAGCATGTGCTCCCAAGTCACCAGTCCCCACCACTGTCCCTGGCTGCTGGCTGCTTCATTCTGTTAACTTCCTACCTAGCATTTACAGACATTTGACTTCTAACCCTTGAAAGTACTAAACTGATGATATGCTTTCAGTCCTTCTGTACCTGTCAGGTCCAACCCAGCAAATTGCAAAGATGGAATTTGACTCTTACTATCCCCATTCTCAAATTTGAAGACATCTTGCCTCTACTCTTACTCCCTTTCTCTTAGAACTATAAAACTGTCATCCTCATTCTACATGATCAAATCCTCTTCTGAGGCTTATATCTTAGTGTGAATGTTTATTTACTATTTAAATTTAACCTCTTTAGTTTTGGAATTTAAAAGTTTGGGCAACAGAGAACAGGTGAGGGTGATTAAAAAAATTAAGGAGGGAAGCATTGTATATAAACCCAGTTCAAATATTATTTGCAGAGATGGAACTTCACTAGAGATCATACATGATGTATTGAATTGCTTGTTTATTTAGAGTAAATTAATTGTAATGTAGGCCAAACATAGGTTTTCTTTTCATACATTAGTTTCACATTAGTAAGGATATTAGAAATCAAAAAAAGGGTGCTGGGAATTCATCCTATATCAAATTGTTTTTACAATTCATGTACAAAATTTCTTCTCCATTTTTTTTCAAATGAAGTTAAATTTTTTTTTTTTTAACATTTATTTATTTTTGGGACAGAGAGAGACAGAGCATGAACGGGGGAGGGGCAGAGAGAGAGGGAGACACAGAATTGGAAACAGGCTCCAGGCTCCGAGCCATCAGCCCAGAGCCTGACGCGGGGCTTGAACTCACGGACCGCGAGATCGTGACCTGGCTGAAGTCGGACGCTCAACCGACTGCGCCACCCAGGCGCCCCAAAATGAAGTTAAATTTTAACCAGTGTTAATCACAATCCTGTTCTAATGTAAGTTTTTTGTGTGTTTGTGATCTGCAGGAAAGAAAAAGGAAATGGAAATCTGTAATACTGCCCTTATTGTGGTGATGAGTATTTTGTAAGTATTTGTTTTGCATGCTTATTTTGCTTGTGCCTTCACTTATCTTTTAATGGTTTCCAAAAGGATTTGAATGCATTTGTATGTTATTGTGTAGAAATTGCCACTATTTGAGGCGCCTGGGTAGCTCAGTCGATTAAATATTCCACTTCAGCTCAGGTCATGATCTCGCAGTTGGTGAGTTCAAGCCCTGCGTGGTGCTCTGTGCTGACAGCTTAGAGCCTGAGTCCTGCTTCGGATTCTGTGTCTTCCTCTCTCCCTCTGTCTCCCTCATGCTCTGTCTCTTACATACTTCAGTCTGACAGTTTTTGATGTATGATTTTCAGGAGAATTATTAAATCTGAGGGAATACCCCAAGTACACATTCAATAAATGTTTTGTTTTTCAAAAATTAATCTGATTTATTTCTACCATCATAGGTTTTTACTGGAAGTTCCATAGATTTAAAGAGAATATTTATATATGCAGGCTGGTGAAATGCCAATAGTGCTATTTTGCTCTATCTGATTAGACCAATGATCCTTACCCTCTAGGATCACTTGTGAAAATGCAGATTTCTAGGCCTCAGTGCCAGAGATTGGGTCCGAAGGTCTCGAGCAGTGAGCAAGAACCTCAGAGTATTCTATAGGAATCTACTTAGGCAGACATATTTCAACTACTATTATCTACATGGATGTAGTTTAATATTGAGGTAGTCCATTAGATTTAATTGAATTGGTTCTGACTGAGTGATACACTCTTGGTGAATATACTTTGGAATGAAGTTCTTATATCCTCTGTTTTTTCTAATTATAACTTTCAGAACATACAAATGTTTGATATACCTTTGAGCTTTACGAAAGGCTTTCATATTCTGTTTAAGTCGATTTGCTCTAGTAATTTTGAATATTAAATATTAGCAGTGATCTTTTGTATTACTATGTAGAAAATTTATAGTCAGAGGTTGAAATGTTGATCTATATACCATTTCCGTGCCACAATAATTTCATAGATTTGGTTTTCTTGTTCCTCCTTAGTTTTCATTTTTTTAAACAATCTTCTTTTGGCAGGTAAAGATGAATTCTATGTATTTTTAAGGGAACTCAATATTTTAACAGAATAGGAAAGATATGATGCCACCTATATATTTGTATATATGTGTAATAAGAAATACTTCCATTCAGTTGAAAGGCTGCTGTGAGAACCAATACAGTACATCCATTTAGCATGTAAGATTTTATATATGATGCAATTCACGCATATTTGGGATTTGATACTTCCTTTGTCTAAGTTGAACTAGAAGAAATTTTTTCTGAATAGTAATTCCAAAAATTTGTTTTGGCTTTCACGGGGAATAAGGTGTATGACTATCTACATAAGATCAAGTCCATATTGATCTTCATTTCCTTTTTTGAAGTGCAGCATAATGGGGGTATAATTGCTTAAGCTGAAAGCACCCAAAAATAGATCTCTCAAGGTTACCTGGTAGATTTCTAAGCTGGTAGTCGCACATCAGCACTAGCTGGGATTCCTTGCAGAGAGAAGAGATGTCAGGGACAATCCCAACCTGCCATTTTGAGGACTTTTTGTCACTCTAGTTACCTTCTAACTTTTTCCTCACCATCTGCTTTTTACCTAATTACCTCATACCATAAAATAGAGATAACTGATTTAAACAATAACAATAATTGGAAACTGGTCTGGACAACGTACATTTAAAAAAAATTTTTTTAACGTTTATTTATTTTTGAGACAGAGAGAGACAGAGCATGAACGGGGGAGGGTCAGAGAGAGAGGGAGACACAGAATCCGAAACAGGCTCCAGGCTTTGAGCGGTCAGCACAGAGCCCGACGCGGGGCTCGAACTCACGGACTGGACAACGTACATTTTTAAAGGTTTTGCGTGTCTGTTCTGCACATGGCAATGCTTTAGGTCTGGATAAGAGTGGATTAACCAGGTACAATTACTTTGCTCTGCCTAGTTTGCTGTTGCTAGTTCTGTTGAATGTGACGCTGTTTCTGAAGCTGTCGAGGATAGAATCTGCTGCTCAGTCCCTTTACCGTCTCCACCTCCAAGAAGAGAAATCTCTGCAGTAAGTCTTTTTTTCCCCCCAACCTGTTATTATTTCAGTAATTCTCTAGCTGCAGAAAACTGAATTCTGGTTTAGAGATTTTGGTTTGCTAACTATACTTTAGTCATAAGTTTTTTTTTAATTTAATTTTTTGCTTTGTTTGCAAATTCATAGGACACTGATGATTTCTAGAAATGACAAGATTAGAAACTATTCCCCTTATTTTTAAGATGGTATTTTTTTTTTCAGTTTAGCCTCTGGTATGCTGTCAAGAGCAGAAAGTATTGAGAAGAACAAAGACCAGGCCCATCGTTTAAAAGGAGTGCTCCGAGACTCTATCGTGATGCTTGAACAGGTAGGCAACTCTGTGTACCACACTACATAGTACTTTCATACCAGCATGAAGCAGTTACTCTTTTGGTTGTGTGAGAACATTTACCATACCATTATTTGAAGAAACCCCCCTCCTAGAGACAACTATCCTTGCCAGTTTCTATATTATGCATTTTATATGTATAGTCACTTGCATTTTTTTTTCAAAATGGGAGCATACTGTACACACCATTGCATACCCTCATTTTACAATTATTTATAATAATTGTAAATTTTACAATTTACAATATATTTTGAAGATGTTTCCATATCAGCATGTACATTTGACTCTTGAATAATGCCAAGGTTAGGGGTGCCGAGCACTGCACAGTCGAAAATCACATATAATTTTGACTCCCCCAAAACTTAACTACTAATAGCCTACTGTTGACCAGAAGCCTTACTGATAACAGAGTCGATTAACACATTATTTTATTAAAAAAATTTTTTTTTTAATGTTTATTTAGTTTTGAGAGAGAGACATCATGATCAAGGGAGGAGGGGCAGAGAGAGAAGGAGACACAGAATCTGAAGCAGGGTCCAGTCCAGGCTCCCAGCCATCAGCACAGAGCCTAACACAGGGCTCAAACCCACAAACTGTGAGATCATGACCTGAGCTGAAGTCGGATGCTTAACTGACTGAGCCACCCAGGCGCCCCTTGATTAACACATATTTTATATGTTACATGTATTATGTGCTGTATTCTAACAATGAAGTAAGCTAGAGAAAAGAAAATGTTATTAAGAAGATCATAAGGAAGAGAAAACACATTTACAGTACTGTCCTGTAAAAAATCCACATGTGAGTGGACCCTTGCAGTTCAAACCTGTGTTGTTCAAAGGTCAACTGTATACATCTACCTCATTCTTTTTATTGATACTTCTATATAAAAATTTATGCTTAATATTAACTTTTTGTAGAAGTACACTGTATACACTGTTGATTATTTTGTTTTTATCTATTCACCATATATCTTGGAGATGCTTCCATATTAGCATAAAAGCAGCTCCTATTAACAAGTGCATAGAATTCAACTGTATAAGTGTACCATAATTACTTATTTTACCAGCCCTCCGTTAAAGAATAAACATTTAGGTTGTTCTGATGTGTTGCTATAAACATTTATCTCTTTAAAAAAATTTTTTTTAATGTTTTGTTTATTTTTGAGAGACAGAGACAGAGAGACAGAGAGACAGAGAGACAGAGCATGAGCAGGGGAGGGGCAGAGAGAGAGAGAGAGAGAGAGAGAGAGAATCTGAAGCAGGCCCCAGGCTCTGAGCTGTCAGCACAGAGCCCGACATGGGGCTCAAATTCACGGGCTATAAGATCATGACCTGAACCGAAGTTGGACGCTTAACCAACTGAGCCACCCAGGTGCTCCTGAAGATTTATTTCTTGAGGACAGTATCATCAATATGTGATGCTCAGTTCCATGAGTCAAAACTTAGGATTCCCTTTGAAAAATAAGATTACTGTTTCCGTCATAATATAGTACATGCGTACTTTTCAAGCTTAAAAAAGAGAATGGTAGAAGAGTAGAAAACTTATAGTTCTAGCATTCAGACATAGTCACTATTAATATTTTGTTTCCTTCTATCCTTTTTTTCTGTGCATTGGTTTTTAGAAGATTCATTTTTTTTCTCAGGATGCCATGTGGGGCATTAAAGTTGCCCCAACTTACAGGTGCTTCAACTAGGCATTTGTCACATGCGTGGTATCTACAGCTCTTGGTGCCATTCCCCTCCCACTCTCAGTGGGAATAGGTCATATTTGCACTTTCCTCCTCAGCCTCCTGTTTCCCCGACTCTCAACTGATGACTCTGCCTCAAAGAGAAAAGAGAGTTTTCCTCTCCTTCCGTAACCAGACCTACAGACCCTCCAATTGCTGCACTCTGTCCTCTTGTCCACAGCTGTCAGAGCATCACTCTGCCTGTGAGGAGAGTCCCAGCATGTGCTAGTGGGAGACCCTGTTCGTCCATCACCCTCAGGCTTCCCATTTCAGTCTCCCTCATTCAACTGGATCTTTCCCATCTGCACATGGTCCCTGCTTTGGTCTCTTCTACATCAAAGCACCCACGCCATCCACATCCTTCTCTCTCTGCTCCCTTTCACAGTCGGGCTCTTTCCCAGTTGCCCGGGTGGGCTGTGGTGGCTGCCACTACTTTATCCTTCATAACCTGTTCACTTTTTTAAGGTTTTATTGTCACCAAAGTCACTCCTTCACATGGTTAACTTGTTCTACCAGGCTCACTCAGAAAAAAAGCAGTCCCACTATATACTTTCCCAAATACAACAATCTTTAACTCTTTTAGTTTCTTTTGGTGTGTACCTCCATATTTATAAACAACAAGCATGTACTGATACTTCTTGGTTTTTCAGTTTTAGACATGATCATTTGACCCATTATGGAAGACAAACGTTTTGTTTTGTTTTCTTTCACCTCTTCCTGCCTCCATTTCTGATCCCCCATGCTCCCAAAGAAGTTATAATCTTGGTATGATCAGCATCCAGTGTTTATTTTGACAAAGTTTGCTGTTCTGAGCTGAGCGATGGAATAAACCAGGACTACTTTTTCTTTTCTGTGCTTTTTCTTATTCCTGAAATTGTCTTACTACTGTTGGTTAATTAACCATTATTTTTAAGTATGTCATCTCCTAAAGCTCTGTTTGTTTGTAAGTTTCCTCTCATAACCTTCATTCCCCTTGGGTATTCTGTGGGTGGAGCCTCCTGGCTGGCTCCAGTCAGGCCCAGGGGCCCTCTCTGCAGGGACACAGCCACCATCCTGGGGCCTCCTGTTGAACACCCCCTCTGTTTCCCATATCCAGAATGTTTTCTGTTTTCCTGGTTTACTCCCTCCTTTTAATGGAGAATATTGTCTAGTAGCATCCTGAGAAAGAGAGCATGGAGGTAAATATTTTAAGACTTAATCTGTGTGCAAGTTTTTTACTCCATCCTTTCCCTTGATTAATAGTTTGGCTGGGAAAAGAACTCTAGCTTGGAAACAATGTTTCTTCAGAGTTTTTAAGACATTGCCCCATTGTTTCTCTGCTTCTAGTGTTGCTATTGAAAATTCTGAAGCTATTACCATTCCTCATCCTTTAATCTGGAAACTCATGCCCTTTAGTTCTAGGAAATACTGAATTATACAGTTGATGATCTCCTCTCCTCCACTCTCTTTTCTGACTTTCTGTGGCTCCTGTAATTGAGATGTCTACCTTCTTTTGGACAGGCTGTCTAATCTTACTTTTTCTTTTCAGCTTCCATCTTTGCCTTTTTGTTTTGCTTCCTCAGAGTTCCTCAACTTAATCTTCACTAAATTGTCCCTTTTTCAATTTTTGCTAACAAGTTTTTGATTCCAAAGACCTACTACTTCTCTGAATTTTTTTTTTTTATGGCATTATGATCTTTTTTTTTTTTTAATTTTTTTTCCAACGTTTATTTATTTTTGGGACAGAGAGAGACAGAGCATTAACGGGGGAGGGGCAGAGAGAGAGGGAGACACAGAATCGGAAACAGGCTCCAGGCTCTGAGCCATCAGCCCAGAGCCTGACGTGAGGCTCGAACTCACGGATCGTGAGATCGTGACCTGGCTGATGTCGGACACTTAACCGACTGCGCCACCCAGGCACCCCGACATTATGATCTTTTTAAATGACTATAGTATCTTCATCTCTCTGATCATATTACTGATGGCTAAAAACTTTTTCCCTTCTTCTTGCATACTTATTTTCCATCAAGATCCTTTCCTGTTTTGATTTCTGTCCTTAAAGTTAGGAGATTTCGTTACATGTCTGTAGTCCTTGGTTGTCTGCTTGTGTGGATCAGAAGTTGTTAAGCTCATGATGTAGGTTGGGCTGGTGTCTCCTGAACTTCTCTGTAGATCTGGCAGGGCTGTTGGTTGAGAAACCCTGATATCACTATCTTTGGGTCTTTTCCTCTTAGATTGGTCAGTTTCTACAAGGAAGTGTCTTCCAGTCTCCACCCAAAGGATTAAGGGCTGGCTGCTGGCATTTTAGGAGGAGAGCCAAAGTAGAGGGATGGAGGAGGGCAGGGCAGAGGAAGATGGTCTCACCACTCTTTTATACAATCCCCATTTTGGGGATTGTACCACTGTCCTAAATGGTGTCTTATTGTCCCTGGGTCAACCAGAGATCCTCTCCAGATAATAAAATTGTAGACCTCTACCAGGTAGTAGAAGAGCACAAATGCCATTCAGTCATTACATTAGTCCCTTCCTCTATATTCCCACTTTCAGAGATTCCTGTCAATTCCTGAGGCTTTTGAGGATCCTTCAGGGTAGATTTGGTTGGTTCTCAGCTTTCTCTGCAGTTAGCTTAGGAGTTCACTTTTTCTGGTCTCCTAAGTCATCCATCTGCTTTCTTGTTTCCAAAGTTTTGCCTTTTCTATTCTCCCTGTCCTTGTGGATGTATGCCTTTAAAGAGTCCCTTTATTGTGCTTTTAGTGGGTTTCAGGAGGGAGTAAAATTGGATGCCTGTGTTTAAGCCAGTATTCGCTCTTCAGGTCACTCCTGCCTTATTTTCTTCCCCATATCTTCCACTGATATTGCTCCGGCTAAAGTCCCCAGTGAGCTCTGGCTGTTAAAATTAATATAGCTGTTTTTAGTTTTCACCTTACAGTGTAAGCATTTGACAGAGCTGACCACTCTTTTCATGAAATGTATCTAACCTGGCCTTCTTTAAAACTATAAAAAAATCCAGCTTTATTGTGATATAATTGACATACTATAAAATTCGCCTTTTAAAGAATTCTTAATATATTCCCAAAGTTATACAACCATCACCACTAATTCCAGAGCATTTTTATCACCCCCAAAAGAAACCCTATATCCATTAGCAGCCTCTCACCATGTTTCATTCTCTCAGCTTCTAGTCACTAATCTGCTTTTTATTTCTATAGGTTTGCCCACGCTGGACGTTTCATATAAATGGAATCATATACTATATGGTCTTTTGTGACTGGCTTTTTTTACTTAGCATAAAGTAAAATGACTTTTTGCTGGTTAAAACTACCTCCTCGACTTGACCTCTTTCTGGTCCAGTGCTCCAGACTTTCTGCGTTAGATTCTCTTCCCTTCTCCTCTCCTTCCCTTCAAGTGGCCTCATCCACTCCCGTAGGTTGTGCCATGTGTGCCATTGACTCCCAGATCCATTTCCCTTACCCTAACCTCTTCCCTGAGCTCCAGACTCATGCGGTCACTTGCTGACTTGGCATCTTCTCCTGGGTACTGACAGGCCACCCCAAATTGATCATGACCAAAGCAGACTTCAGTTTTCATCCTGAGCTAGGTAGGCCTGATTCTCCTCTAGTTGACGTAATTTCAGAAAATGACACTACGATCCTCCAGTCAGAAATTTAGTGCATTGTGTGAGCATATATGTATAGATGTGATGGTACGTTTTAGTCCTGTATCTCTCACTAGTCTGTCAGCTCTAGGACAGCAGGGACGGCGCCTATTTGGTTCACCATTGTATACGCAGTGCTTAGTCAAACCCAGCATGTGAGAGGTAAGCAATTAACATTTACTGAATGAACAAAGGAATGAATACAAAGAAGAATAATTCTTGCTCTCAAGTTGCCTATAACTTTATTAGAAAAATCAGATATATTGTTAAAGACTATAAAAAAAATACAAAATTGGGGCGCCTGGGTGGCTCAGTCAGTTAAGCAATCGACTCTTGGTTTTGGCTCAAGTTGTGATTGCAGGGTCATGGAATCGCACTCCCCCCCCCTCCATCGGAACAGAGCCTGCTTGAGATTCTCTCTCCACCCTCTCTCCCTCAGTGCGGTCTCTCAAAATTAAAAAAAAAGTACACAGTTAAGTGTTAAGTACATAGTAATGCTTTGGGAGTTTAAAGGCAGGATGACTAGGGAAGGTGACACGGAGACGGTGGTGATGGGTAAGCTTTAGATGGGTGAATACAAGCGTGAAGGAAATAGCAAGCAAAGGCCTGGAGGTGGCACTTGAGTCATTCAGGGGACAGCGGCAAGACCACTGCCACTTGAGAAACCATTTAAGGAAACAACCTACTGGGAGGCAGAATGTGCAACAGGACAGTGCGGGGAGAAGAGCGGGGTACAGTGGACAGGAAGAGCTCCTGAGCAGGCGTACTGACACACACCCAAAGCAGCTGGCTGTTGTATAAATTCAGTCTTTTATCTGGGCATCAGTAGAAACAAAACTATATCGAATATATAAATGTAAACTTTTGGCATAAAAATAAGCAGGTGAAACTTAATCTTATTTTGAAAATTAATTTTGTTTGCAGTTAAAGAGCTCACTTGTTATGCTTCAGAGAACTTTTGATCTACTAAATAAAAACAAGACTGGCATGACTGTCAAAAGCTAGTGATCTCAAGGCCTGAAACTGTAGAGATACTTGGAACTAAAAGAAAACGTCTTAAAGAAAACCAGAGGATGAAGGATTTTAATTGTCACAGGAACATTTCCATATTTTCTCATTATTGGTACTTTTAATATGAACAATCTTTTTAATAACATTAATGTGATGACTAGTCTCTGATGGCCTTAATGATCCATTCTTTCACTTCTTATACGTAATTCTAAGCAGTGGATTTCTCCAGTGGAATTATTCTCCAGTGGATATTTCAGGTGAAATATGTTGTGGACTTGAATTTCCACAATACAAAAAGAAAATGAGACACTCCAAACTGAGTAGTATGGCCTTGTTTTTACAGTGAGATTTGAAGTTTGATGCTTTATCTGTTAGCACAGAATCAGTACGTGTTTGACAGGCTGCTTTCCCAGTTGAGATACACTGAAGATGCTAAAGAAAATTTAAGAATGAACCTCTGTATCATTATGAATTGTGAAGGACCAGGTTTCAGGCATGTATTATAACATTTCTAAGTTTGTGTACTGTAAATATTACAGTGTCTTCATTTTTTCTTTAGCATGGGAATTCAGTAGTCAGGTTCTGAATCTGCAACTTGGTAATTATTACTGAAAGGTTCTTCAGCCGTTGTATCTTTTTGAAGATAGATGTTTCAGGAGCTATGAGAGGTGAGATTATCTTGCCTCTTCATGTATCAAATGGTGGAAGAGTAAATTCTGGAAAAGGAGACATGTAGGGTACCAACACTCAAAATGAAGAACCACGTGCTGATTTTAAAAACAAGAGGATTATGTTGAAATCTGGGCACTTAGTGGCCGATCAAAGGAATACTTGAACTAAGCGTGGCTTTAGCTTAGCACTCTTTCATGGTGGAAGCGAACCACCTGGTTGAAAATAATCTGTGGATTACTTTTCAGGAGCCGTATATGTCTTCACTTACTCATTCACGTGTGTAGCTTGTTTCAGTTGGGAAGTTATAACCAGACACAAACTTTAGCTCTTCAATAAAAACTTTTGGGGGCACTGTGTCCCAGTACTAGTGCACTGACTGAACTTCTAGGCCAGACAGAAGCTTTGGCTCTTTCACAACAATTTTTTAGGCATGTATGTCTCAACATGATGTCTTTGGAACAAGAGAAAGATAGTGCCGAGTAATTTGTATATATTCTTACTGTTTGGACAGTTGCTTCCCTTTAGTTATATGTTTCTTTTTTCCCCCAGAGTCACCAAAGCCACATGAGATAGCTAAAGTCATTTTTGAGATGCCTGTAGAGAATGAAAGTATTAACTTCATTACAGGGAAAATGGATTTCTCTGGGTGGTTCCCAACAAACCTACATTGGGGTACCAGTGTACTTACCTGGGGTTTTTGAAAAAAGGATTTATGAAGTGTCTGGCTGTGAGTAAGAGTCACCGGATATTAAACTTGAAGACTTGTTCTCTGTTAAATTCACAAAAA